CTTTCCTCCCTGTGGATATTTTTCTACAAATTTTTCGATGCAATAGGTTAAATATCAACAAAGAGGGTGATATCCTGCTTAGTAAGTTCTTTATATAAATGGTATCATTTTTCAACATTACATTTCAAAAATACATCCATAGTAGAATGCATTTAGCATTTAATTGTTTTAATTGACTTTAACTGCTACATAGTAGCATTATACAACTATCTCAAATGATAAATTTTCTCAACTTATGTATGCTTATGTCCATTGATATAATTGCATGGCTTCTCCTTTAAACTATTAGTATGATGTGCTGTGTTATTATATTGTTTCTAATGATGAATTCCAGGGACAAATCATAAGTTTATTTTTTCTAATATTAATATTGCTAAAAGTATTTACTTCGGATTATTATTTTTAAGTATAAACTTAACCTTTTAGAAGTTTTCAATTTTTTGTTCAACTCTTCTATTTGTTCTAAGTAACACATTTTTGATCCAGTTTGATTCTAGAGCATTTTAATAGAAAGTTTATGTGTTTACTATTATTGTTATTGATATATGTGGCTATATATCTCCATTTTCTATTTTTCACTTTCCAATCACCATTTTGTGTTTACTTCTTTTTAATTACTTTCTTCTATCTCTAGATGAATACTGTTTTCTAATGCTGTCTTTTTTTCTATACTGATTTGGAAGCTATTAATTTCTCTTAGTCACTTTTTTGTAGTTACATATAAAAATGTAAAGTTTTCTTAGATAAGAAGACAAACCACAAATTGGGAGAAAATATTTGCAAAACACATTTCCAATGAAGAATTTGTATCCAAACTGTGCAAGAACTTTCAAAGCCCAACAATAAGAAAACAAACACACCAATTTTAAAAATGGGTAAAAGATCTGAACAGGTATTTCATCAAAGAAGATATACGGGGCTGGGCGCGGTGGCTCAAGCCTGTAATCCCAGCACTTTGGGAGGCCGAGACGGGCGGATCATGAGGTCAGGAGATCGAGACCATCCTGGCTAACACGGTGAAACCCCGTCTCTACTAAAAATACAAGAAAATTAGCCGGGCGAGGTGGCGGGCGCCTGTAGTCCCAGCTACTCGGGAGGCTGAGGCAGGAGAATGGCGTGAACCCGGGGGAGCGGAGCTTGCAGTGAGCCGAGATCGCACCACTGCACTCCAGCCTGGGGCACAGAGCAAGACTCCGCGTCAAAAAAAAAAAAAAAAAGAAGATATACGGGTCATAAATAAATATATGAAAAGAAGCCCAGCACCATATGTCATTAGGAAATTGCAAATTTAAACAACACTGCACACCTATGAGAATGGCTAAAATTCCAAGAACCGACAATACCAAATGCTGACAAGAATGTGGCGCAAAAGGAACTCTCATTTATTGCTGGTGAAAATGCAAAATGGCACAGCCAATTTGGAAGATAGTTTCTACCAAAGCTAAACATAGCTAAACCTTGCAATATAGCAGTTGTACTAGCAGATAATTACCCAATTGAATTAAAAACGTCTATACAAAAACATGTACATGATTATTTACATCAGCTTTATTCATAATCACTAAAAACTGGGATTTTTCCAGATGTTCTTCAATAGGTGAATGGATAAACAAATTGATACATCCTTATCATAGAATATTTTCCATGACAAAAATAAATAAGCTGAAAAGACATGGGTGAACCTTAAATGTATATTGATATGTAAATGAAACCTGTCCAAAAAAACTGCATACCATATGATTCCAGCTATACGAAATTTTGAAATAAACAAAACTATAGAGGTAGTAAAAAGATTACTTATTGCCAAGGATTCTAGGTTGTCTAAAAATCACTGGTTGCCAAGGATTCTAGGAGAATTCTTGAATCCTAGGCAATCAGTGGTCTTCTCCTAAGGGAGAAGTGGATGAATATCTGGAGCACAGATTTTTAGGGTGGCGAAACCTTTCTGTATGAAACTGCTGCAATGGTGGATACATGTCATTATGCATTTTGAATTGTGCAATGCAGTTCAGTGAACCTAGAACTGTGAACCACAAGAATAAAACTTAATGTAAACCATTGACTATAGTGAATCATCATGTATCAAAATTGGTTTATCTACTGTAATGAATATACTACTGTAGTGCAAGATGTTAATAATAGGGAAAACTGTGTGCAGGGAGGGCGTAGGTGTATGGAATTGTATGTACTATCTGCTCAATTTTCAATATAAAACTGTACTAGAAAGCGAAATCTATTAACTATTTGTAAAGCTGTTTTAGGCCACCTACATATATGTGGTCTGTTTTTGACAAATATGTCAAGTTGATTCAATAGAGAGATATTGTTTTCTTTCTTTCTTTCTTTTTTTTTTTTTTTCTTGAGACGGAGTCTCACTCTGTCACCCAGGCTGGAGTGCAGTGGCGCGATCTCAGCTCACTACAACCTCAGCCTCCCGGGTTCAAGCCATTCTCCTGCCTCAGCCTCCCAAGTAGCTGGGATTACAGGTGCCCACCACCATGTCCAGCTAACTTTTTGTATTTTTAGTAGAGACAGGGTTTCACCATGTTGGCCAGGCTGGTCTCAAACTGCTGACCACAGGTGATCCACCCGCCTCGGCCTCCCAAAGTGCTGGGATTACAGGCTTGAGCCAGCGTGCCTGGCCAATAGAGAGATATTATTTTCAACAAAAGGTGTTAGAACATCTATATGCAAAAATAAATAAATAAATAAATAAACAAAGCCCCACCTACCCTAGAACCATATAAAATATTTAACTTGAAAAAGATCACAGACCTAAATGTATAACCTGAAAATTATGAAACTTCTAGACAAAAACATGGAAGAAAAATCTTTTTTTTTTTTTTTTTTTTTTTTTTGAGACAGCATTTCGCTCTTTTTGCCCAGGCTGGAGTGCAATGGTGCGATCTCAGCTCACCACAACCTCCGCCTCCAAGGTTCAAGCGATTCTCCTGCCTCAGCCTCCCAAGTAGCTGGGATTACAGGCATGTGCCACCATCCCAGCTAATTTTGTATTTTTAGTAGAGACAGGGTTTCTCCATGTTGGTCAGGCTGGTCTTGAACTCCCCACCTCAGGTGATCCACCTGCCTCGGCCTCCCAAAGTGCTGGGATTGCAAGCGTGAGCCACCGTGCCCGGCCAGAAGAAAAATCTTAAATAGTGTGCCCCCAGGCTGGTTGGTGGTGGCTAACACTTCAATCCCAGCACATTTGGGAGGCCGAGGTGGGAGGATCACTTGAGTCCAGGAGTTTAAGGGCAGCCTGGGGAACATAGGGAGTCTCTGTCTCTACAAAATTTTTAAAAATTAGCCAGTTGTGGTTGTTCATGCCTGCAGTATCAACTACACAGGAGGCTGAGGTGGGAGGATCAATTACTTGAGTCTGAGAGGCCAAGGCTGCAGTGAGCCATGACCATGAACCACTGCACTCCAGCCTGGGTGACAAAGAGAAACCCTGTCTCAAAAAAACAAAATGTGACCTTAGTTTAAGTAATAATTACTTACTTTTATAAAGTGCTTTTATAAAAGAAAAACTGATAAATTGCACTTAACAAAATTTAAAAACTTGTGGTCTTCAAAACACAGTGTTAAGAAAATGAAAAGATAAACCACAAACTGGGATAAAATGCTTGAAAATCAGGTATCTGATCAAATACCTGAATCAAGAATATATGAGGAACTCTTATTGTTCAATAAGTAGGCAAAAGAATTAAATAATCAAAAGATTTAGACACGTCACCCAAGAAGAGAAGTGGATGGCAAATACACACAGAAAGTGATACTCAACATTATTATTCATTACTGAAGTACAAATTAAAAACAAAATGAAATACTACTGTACATCTACTAGAATGACTAAGGTTTTTTGTAACTGACAATATCAATTTCCAGCAAGGAAGAGAAGTAACTAGAACATTCATACATTGCTCTTAGGAATGCAAAATGATATTTGGAAAATAGTTTGGCAGTTTCTTATAAAGTTAAATATTCATCTACCATACAACCCAGCAATTTTATTTGTGGACATTTACCCCAGAGAAATGCAAACCTACATCCATACAAAGACTTCTACTTGAGAATTCATAGAAGCTTTATTATTTGTAATAGCCAAAATTACTGGAAATAATCCTGATATATTACAATTTGCAATATATATCCATACAGTGGAAAACTATTCAGTAATACTGCTCATGCTCTACCAGGCCAGCAGCTTCTGGGAGATGTGGAGGGAGTATGACTGGACCCACAGCCATGTGCCACACCCATACTTCCCTTGCTATAAAGTGGATCCATGGGCCTGAGGTGATATTTGTACTCTGTGTCACTGAATTAGACAATCTGTACTGGCTAAGGCTCTAGGGGCAAAAAGAGGCAAATCCATATCCAAAATATATGTCAATTATGACCAAAATGAATTTCTGCCCCCTCCAGGAAAGAAAAGGTCCCATATAATCAACTTGCCATCAAGAGGCAGATTCATCTCCTCAAGGGACAGTGCTGTCACAGGGGTTCAGCCTTGATCTCTGTTGCTGGTAGACTGGACATTTGGCAGCAGGAGTAGCTAATCAGTCTCGGTGAATGGGAACCCGTACTTTACAGCCTGTGTGCAGACTCTGCCCTGGTCACTGTGGCTACTCTATTCACAAGCCCATTGTTCTGACACTGGGGTAGCCAATGACAAGAGCTGGCTTAGTTCAAATGCCTGAGTCAGTCTACTTGACTGTTTTGAACCTCTCTTCCATCCATTATATGGGTGATCTCTGTTCCACACAATCGTGATATAAAATCTCATACCGGCTCCCATGGATCCATCCACATTCCCCTCTAGACCTCCTCAATCTTCCAATCTTTCTCTCCCTAGGCCCCTACCCAACTTATCAAGTTACTCATCACTACCCATGACTTCATGTAATTCTTCATTGCTCTTCTTTACTTTCCACTTAAAATAGATGACCAGATGTACCACCCAAATCTCTTCCCATTGAGAAGATTTTTCCTCATACCTTTCTTTCAGGGCCACTTCTGCATAGTCCATTTTCAACCTAAAACCACAGAGTGAGTTAACTCATTCACAAATCATACTAGACATTTTTCTTCCTTCCTATATGTGATGGGTAACACGGTGTTCTGAGCCCCCTGCTTTGCTACTTTCTTGAAGCTTCCTGTCCCGATCTTGCCTGATCCCACTTCCGTGTTGCTAATGGATTGCATTGGGACTTCCCAACGTTAAAACATGACAGTTGGAATAGAATGCAGCTCATGACTCACCTCTGGCCATAGGATTATTTGAGTTCCCATAACCAGGGTCCAGAGGCAGTTTCCATAATGAAGTACAGATGCAGACGATGGCTTCATTCTCCAATGTGAAATATGCTTCCTCAAGAACTCAAAGAGACCTACCAAGCATTGTGCTTCTTTCTTACTAATAGCAAAAGCTATCCATTTATAGTCTATATACTTACTTTCCCTAAATCTCCCTCTGCCTAAGATAATATCCTTGCCAATGTGTTATCTTCCACTGGTAACCCATCCCAGGTCACCACTGGTAAACTTTTAATACTTCACTGCTACATCATTTCAGGAGTTACCAGTATTCCATTTACCACCAGTGATGGAGTTCTTACTGCCAGTGGGCTGGTGGGCGGCTCAGCTCTAATGTCCCATTTTAGAGATGGATTCCTGGGACCACTACCTGTTCCCAACTGTCTTAGGTCAGACTCCCTGGAAACAGACTGTGACACAGAGGTTTCCATACTGAGTGTTTCTGGGAAATCCTATAAGGAATAAGGGAAACAGGATTGATTGGACAGAGAGAAAAGTTTAACTGAGAGGCAGTTGCAACAGAGGCCTCAACAGATCTCATGAGACATTCTGGAGTTGAGATGATCCTTTAGAGTTGCCCAGTTCTGAGGCAAAAAAAGTCAGGCCTTTATATTCCCAAATCAACCAGTTATTGGATGTGGGCTGCCCCATATGCACTAAGAAGAGGGGGCATAACCTTAGATGAGAAGAAAATTTACTGATAGGACCTCAGCTTTGAGTCATAAGCATCCAATACTCCTGGCAGGTATGGAAAACTGTCTTAATAGTCCAAAATTATTCAAAGTTCTATTTTTCTCAAATTACAAAGCTTTTAGCCTGCTCTACTACCCAATGACCATCGCTATTTTTGTTTGAAACACACACACACAGAAAAGATTTATTCTCTGTTACAAGTAGTATTTTATGATTCTTTGCTCACTGTTGTTTACACGTGTTCCATCCCTTCCTGTTTAGCTGTTCATTTAGTGTCTGATTATGGCAGTGTCTCTCAGTCTTTGTATGCCTGATATGTCTTGATTTTAACCTCAGTGTGAAATAATAATCTAATTAGGTATAAAATTCTACCTAATGGCAGTTATTTTCCTTCAGCTGACAGTATTGGTATGTCTCTGACATATTCTGTTTCTGAGGAGAGGTATGCTCTCAGTCTAACTATTCTTCCTTTGCATTTGGGGCAATGTATTTTTTTTTCCTTCTGGAACTGCTGTTAGATGTCTATAGGAATCTGTCAGTGTATTCTCCAAATACCTTAAACGCCCTCTCATATATATTTCATCTCTAACTGTTGCCTTCTGGGTGAATTATTTATTACTGTCTTCCAATTTATCAATTCCTTTTTGCCTATGTCTAGAGTATATCTCATCTATAAAGTTTTTAATTTCACTGACTATATTATTTATTTCTAGAATTTTAAATTATTTTTTATATCCAGATCGCTTTTGTTTCACCTTATGCTAGGTTTTGTTCAATTGTTTGCTCATTATGGATGTTTTTCCTTCATTCATCTCCCTAAATATCCTAAACATATTTATTTTGAAATATTTATCAGCTTGTTCTACTACATAAATTATTGTTTTCTTATTTATAAGTTTTTTTACATTTTTAGTGGACACACAATAATGATACATATTTATGAACTACATAGTGATATTTTGATATATATGATATATAGTGATCATATCAGGGTGTATAAAATCACATTTTATACATAAATTAGCATATCCATCATACTACATAAGTTTTTATGGGCCAAATTTATATACAAAGTTTCTGTTTTGTTGACTGCTTTCTCTGTATTAGATTTAGTTCCCTGATGAATTTAGAAATTATCTTCAGGATTTCTTTCTCTGTTTAGCCCTCCGTATCTGGTTTTGTACGGCTTCTACCCTAACCTCTCCCTCATATCAACATAAGTTCTGTCTTACATTGAAGATTAAATCTTGCATGACACAGATATCGAGAATTTCACAGACAGTCACAAAACCATTTTGGGGCTTGGTTCCTCTCTGGTCACAAGGCTGTGTGTGCCTCTTTCTGTCTCCCATGCTTTATATATGCCACTTTTTTTTTCACTCTCTCTTTCAAAAGAGAGGTAGGCCCTGGCTTCAGGTGTGAGCTTGGTTCTTACCTATCACTTCCAAGGGAGCAATTTCTCCCACAAGTCTGAACTACTGGGCTCTCTGCCCAGGGATGGGCAGACCTAGTCCCACATCTGCACCTCCACCAACCACCAAACACTTCTATTTTATGTCTGTTCCACAGAGATGTTTGCTTCGTTTTACTTTACTGTTTTAGCACAGCTGTCTCTTTTCTAAATTTTGCTTTAAAAATTTATCTATCATTGTTGTCCATGTGGAACAGAAGGGTACTTCAAAGTGTGCATTTACAAGGCAATCTCAGATGAAAGTTGATACATGTTTGTTTTCAAATATTTGTTGATTGAATAAATAAAATGGTCTTTGCATTGTTAGATATCCTTCCGAGCCTTTGCCTGTGCTGTTCTCTCAACCTAGAATGAGTTTTGTCTGTTTTCAATTGTATTCATTATTCAAATATTATCTCCCCTACAAAGATTTACCTAATGACCATATCCCCTTCACAAAATTGTTTTCTATTTCCTCATTTTACTTATTACAAACCTTTTTAATTACATATTTCATATTACATGACAATTGTCTTTATACTTGTCACTGCAGCTAATTGTGAATCTCCACCTTAACTCTGAATTATTCGTACCTTGTACCGCAAACTGCATTTGTATGTTCTCAAATATTTGTAAAAAGAATTGCTATGAACCACAGAGCAGGAGAACACACTATTTTAATCCCTCAACTTGTCTACTCTAACATATTCACTACAGTGTGAAAATATTTTACGTTAATCAAGGCAGTGGTAGCCCATTTTATGAGTTACACCAATATTATGGGGAAAGTTTGTGATTTAAATTCTACAATGACAGATATAATATTTAAATATAATAGAAGTGGGTTGTTGTAGTCATATCGTTATAATATGTGCTTGGTTTTCTTTGAATTATATGAATTTAAACAAATACCACTTCTAAAAAGGTGATGTCTTATTTTAACCTATGATCTTAAATTCCCTTTCTAGGGTAAAGACCAACTAGGGAGGAAGTTAAAGAAAGAAATGCAAAAATAGTAAGTACAAAATTTAAGCTTGAAAATTCAAATCTATTCTATTAAGGAATATAGTTAGATGCACACAATTGTGGATAAGCATTTTGCTCTGATACATGTTTAAGTTTTGTAAAATGAAAAAAAAATTATTGTACAAGCTTAGCAACCTTGGCCTAGACTCCTGATGTAGAACTATGTCATAAATGTTTTTTTAACTCTAATTCCTGGCAAGGCAACAGGTAAGCTTTAATAAATACTATTGAACCAAAATGCAAAAATGTTCCCTGCCTATTATGAATGAGTTGTCTCACTGTTATCTACACACTATTTATAGAGCAATATAATAACAATCACTATTAACATGGATCTTACTATGTTAACTACTAAAATGCAGTATCATGCTTAATGTTCTAAACAATTAAGAAAGGTATAATACCAATATCAAATAATCACATTTTATACATTAAAAAAACTTTCAGTTCAGGGAAGTTAAATAACTTACCTGAAGTTACCTAGTGAGTCTCAGCAATACTAAGATCCGAACCTGGGCGGGCCTGACTTCTAACCTCTCGTCCTTCCTCTCCACAATCTCTGTGCCATGTTGCCATGTATGCCTTCCTAACTTTTTTTTTTTTTTTTTTTTGAGACAGAGTCTCCCGCTGTCGCCCAGGCTAGAGTGCGGTGTCACAATCTCGGCTCACTGCAAGCTCCACCTCCTGGGTTCACGCCATTCTCCTGCCTCAGTCTCCGGAGTAGCTGGGACTACAGGTGCCTGCCACGACACCCGGCTAATTTTATGTATTTTTAGTAGAGACGGGGTTTCACCATGTTAGCCAGGATGGTCTCTATCTCCTGACCTCGTGATCCTCCCGCCTTGGCCTCCCAAAGTTTTGGGATTACAGGCGTGAGCCACCACGCCCGGCCTGCCTTCCTAACCTTTTATCCATTGGCCTATCTTTCCCTTACTTCTTCTCAGTAACATCTTTGTGACATTCTAGATCAACTATCCAGGTATAAAATTTAACTCAAACTATGGGGAGAAGTAAGGGGAGGGAAGACCAAATGACTCACGAATTTAGGAGATTGGAAGTTGTGATCTGTTTTTTGTATACATATGAATGCTCATTTAAAGTTTTCATCTAAGTAGGAGCAGACAGATACTACCATGTGTATTTCCAGGAGATAAACATAGTGCCTTGAAGAGAAAATGTGAAGAGGAAGAGGTGTAAATGAGATGTAGAATCTGCACCAGAGATGGCTCCACACTCTTGCAGTTGCAAAGTCCTGTCCATAGAGAGGTTTCTTGGAGACACAAGTCGTTTGGGCTGAAAACATCAAATCGTTCATCTAAGACAGAGAATGAGAGACAGAGATAGAGAAAGAAAAAGAGAAAGAGAGAGAGTTTGCTCAATGTTAGCCGAGAACTGCAAATAAGCTTGAATAGACCCTCACCAGGAATTATGACAACAAGGAGTGTCATATGCCAAGCAGAATAAACTTCTCTGTATTATTCCACTAAGGACATAAGAGGATTAGGTCTTTACTAGTTAACTTGTTATCTCAGTTATGGACTTTCCAATTGAGGGATTTTAATTTTTACAAATAAAAGGATGGTTTCATACAATGGTCCACCAGGGTGAGAAACGAGGCCACACTTTTACACAGCCCAGTTTATCATGCTACCATGGAATTCCGTAAAAGCCTCATTCTCCTGTGAAAGGTTAGTCCTTATTCCAA